TTTCCAAGAGCGCTGGCCGCGTATTCCCAGCACAACCAGAAACTTAAATGTATTCCATGGTCCGTACAAAACATAAACTTTCGGTTAAATCTTCGTCAACTCTATGATCTATTTATTTAATGCTTAAAAGCATGAAAAATATGAAACATAATATTAACGTTGGTACTTATTTAAAGTTACAAGTTTTTTTAAAGAGAAAATCAAGTGGATTAAAAGTAAAAATTCCAAAGTTTTGACTTCAACCGATATAAAATATTCATTGACGAAGCTCTTGATATTCAATATTTAGTAAAAAGGTAGGTAGGTGAGATAAAATTGTTTTGTATATATTGACTATTCATTCTTCGTTCATTTATTACGATATATGTAATATTCATTAATGAAATATATATTAAACATTAAACTTATCCGGTGATAGATCGAGCACGGTCGTTATAGGCCAACCTTTTTGACGACCCGATTGAGCACGGTAAAAACAAAAATACTGTGTACAACGTTGTCAAATTGAAAACTAACTATTAGGCTATTTACCGCTTCCATCGACTCAAATCAGGTCCCTTTCAAAGCAGATTTTATCTTTGGAAACAAAAAAAAGTCACACGGTGCCAAATCTGGTGAATACGGAGCGTGTTCGAGCACTGGAATGCGCTTACCGGCCAAATACTGCTTCACAGATAGCGTGTTATGGGCAGGTGCGTTGTCCTGGTGCAAAATCCACGAGTTGTTCTTCCAGAACTCGGGCCGTTTCTTACGAACTCGTTCTCGCAGTGTTGCTAAAACTGATAAATAATAAGTCTGGTTGATAGTCTGACCCTCTGAAACCCATTCAGTCATCACAATACCGTTAAAGTAAAAAAAAACGATCAACATTGCCTTGAATTTTTATTTGGACATCCTTGCTTTTTTGATTCTAGGCGATTCAGGCGTCTTCCAATGCATCGATTGCCGCTTTGTTTCAACATCGTATTGAAAAATTCACGTTTCGTCGCAAGTAATAATGTTTTTCATCAGTCCGGAATCTTCTTCTAACCTTTCAAGGAAATCTGAGCAGACCTGTTGACGCAAGAGCTTTTGGTCAGGAGTCAGGTTTTTTGGCACCAACTTCGCACAGACTTTTTTCATGTGTAATTCCTCATGTAAAATTTTTCTAACCGTTTCTTTATCGGCGTTTACAGCCTCGGAAATCATTCGGATGCTTTTTCGACGATCTGCACGCACAATTTGGTTGATTTTGGTCACTGTTTCCGGAGTTGAAACAGTGACAGGGCGACCTGGGCGCTGGTCATCTTCAGTGCTCTCTCGGCCCTCACTAAAACGCTTACACCACTCAAAAACACGTGCACAAGATAGAGAATTGTCCCCATAGGCCTCTTGCAACAATTTATAACACTCAATCGGAGTTTTTTTCAATTTAACGAGAAATTTGAGATTGATACGTTGCTCCTGTTTTTCGTCACACATGGTTTTCGGCACGAGAAAAAAACACGTTCGTTTCTAACTACTACTGCACAAATACTAAAATAGTAACGAAAACGTATTTTGATAAGTGCACAGATAAGATATTTAGATACCCAACGCACTAATAGTTTTTTCCCCACCCGTCTACGGCCCCTTATATACTGGCAGTCTCGTTATTTAATAGCCAGACCTCGTACGATCCAAACTTGATTACGGATGTTTTCTCTTTAGTTTTACATCTTTCCCAAACTGGAATAGACTAAACAAAGTTCAAATTTCTTTCCTAAAAAGTATTATGGGCTATGTTAGTCATCCTTTCTCCCAGAAATTGAAGTGGAGTCATTGTGTCCTCCTTTTAATATCAGGTGTTGCTAGCTTGCAGGAAAGTTCCTCCTAAAATCTTTTTCTCACTCTAATTATCTCATTTTTAATTTATTTTATTCTTTGTTCTTAACGTGGCGTTACGTTCCTAAAACTATACTTGTCCTCTCTTTGGTAGCTAATTCTATCTCACCTTTTCATGAATATATTCTGACTAATATTTAACATCCCATATATGAGATTGTTAACGAAGCCCTTCTGTATCCCGTACACGTTAACCTAACCTATTTCAAGGATTTACCTCTTTTGAACTTAGGGTTACTTCTCCCGTGGTTATTAACAATCTTTTTTCGGATTTTATTGAAAACCATTTTATGGATTTTATTATGATTTATACGGACGGTTTCGTTTCTCCTCTCTCGGCTGGTTACTTATTTTATATTCCCAAATTATACATTTCATTTACAAAAAACTTACCCTCTTCCACAACTTTCCTCACAGCTGAGTGTCTTGCTATTATAGAAGTTCTCAGTTGTATCTCTTCTTTCTCAAATAAAGACATTGCCGCGAACTTGTAAAGCTACTGAATCAATATTAATACATTTAAATTGTATCGATACTTAATGAAAAACAACATTTTGAATAGATAACCGAATAAATAATACAAATTTTCCATGTATACTTTACCTACATACAATTATTTAAAATACCATTTTTGGTTTTCCAATAGAATTATACTTTAAATATAGAGATGGCGATGTGTACCTAATAATAATATACACCAGATTCCGGCAAAACAGTATACATTTTTTTTTTTTTTGTATCGCATATCGCTATGATGAATTTTGTATACATAGTATATACGACTGTGTTATTAATATATAATGCGCGTTCTTACCAAAGAAGAAATAACCATTCGCAGAAACGTTCGATAAACATAAAATTACTAATATTTTGTTTTCCCGGTAAAGTAGCTATAAGCAAAACTATTGCTTTTCTTTTTACAGTTTTAGATGAAATACTATAAGAACGCATGTGAACATTATATCAACCCTACCTGTTTTCGGCGATTATATGATACGAGTATTATGACAAGCAGTGGCGTGTGCAGGAATTTGGTATTGGGAGGGGGGATTTTAGACATAAAAATGTATTATTTTCAATTTTTATTCTTTATTATTATACAAAAAAAAATTCAATCAAGGTGGAAATTCAGCCTTCTGGCTTTTTACTAAATTTATTAATAATGTGTTCTATAGATAATAGAATGTCTAATCGAATGTATGTTCATTATCGCAATTCATTTAACCATGACTGCCCCGTCGTATTTCTTAAATATATTTTTAAACGCTTAAGACTAAAAAACAAGCCTATGTGAGGGGTATATTCCCCATCATCCCTCCCGCGCACGCCACTGATGACAAGTGCAGCAAATCGAAAGCGATTATAATTTATTATTTTTACTATTGTACAAAAACGTGTACATAAATAATATTGGTATGATGTTTATAGTAAGATGGCGGAATTCAAAAGTGATTTTTTTCGTAAATGATATAGTCTGAAAATACCTTTTCATAAATTCTGATATTTGATCCTAATTTTGATGCTCGCGTGGAACGTATAGATTTACGACATTAAAATTGCAAACCATAGGTACATTCTCGCAGTGAATAGGGACGCCAATAGGTATTAGTTAGCGATTAAGACAAACCAAGTACACAAATATGATGACATCTATAATTGATATGACTGTAATATGGTCATGCTTAGGTGCTTACACAAAAAAATATTTTTTTTTTTTTTTGGAGGAGGTTAGGTTATATATTTTCGTATTTATAAAATCTATTCTTTTACTCATCCCCCTCCCATTTTTATTTATGCTCCTTGTTATATTGACGCATGGTGACCGAGTACTGTCACTATGTATAATTAAATAGAATTAATGAAATAAAAACCAATATTTACCATATAATCTACATGCGTATATAGTTATATACGTATATTTATATATTTTTCTTGTTTTATAATATTATCTCTCGTTAAACAATAATAATAATAATAATAATAATAATAATAATAATAATAATAATAAGCGATAATAATTAATTAATAACAATAATAATAATAACACGGAGCACCTTTTCTAGTAGTAGAGGAAAACGAAAAAGAATAAAAGATAATAAAACGAAAAATAATAATATTGAAACCCGAACGAATATAATAATATGCGTATTGTACTCGTGTACGCGTTTCGGAAGAGGACAAGGATGAGGTGACAAATTTATAGATATATACCTATATTTATGAATATGTATATAAATATATGAATTACTATTTCATTCGACGAGAACAAACGATAAACGTAATATTATGTAAAATATACATGAATAATTATGTGCGCTTGGGTACTTGACTGTTGTATACAACATAAAAGTATTTTATTTGTTTTCCATATATTATATACATATAGTATACTATGATGCGTTGTACTAAATAATATAATATATGTATATAAATACCTAATAATAAAACGACAAGTTCAATAAAATTTAAAGAATTGCGGGCGGGCGCAAATAATAATAATAATAATAATAATTATAAAAAACAATATATCAATTTCTTTTATCGTAAAAAACTAACAATATATATATATATATATATAGTGTATACATATTTATACAATATATATTATATATACCAATATATTATACTCTTTTATATATTAATAAAAATCGTATTTTACACATATTTTTCACTCCGTCTTCTTATACCTAATCAATTAATTTCACAATAATTACCCCACATCACATTTAATTCCTATTCGGTTTTTTAATAATAATATTAATGATGATAATAATAATAATAATAATAATAATAATAATAATAATAATAATAATAGAAATAAAAATAATAATAATAATAATTATAATAATTTTTTTAACGAAAACAAATTAAAACTATTCGCATATTAAATATTGTATAGTACATATTACACGTATACATAAATCAAAATATGTTGTAGATGTCGTCGTCGTCTTTGAACAACTTACAAATAATATATATATTATAAATATGTTACAAACTTTTTTTTTGTTTCGCCACTACTTACACATATAAAATATGTATAGTTTATATGTTATCATAATATATATATATAGAAGAAAAAAATTATAATAAACGACGAAGACGACAACGACGACGACTGTTATATAATTTACAAATAAAACGTAAAATAATATTTAAAATAATAATAATAATAATAATATTAATAATCATCGTAATAATAATATATTAACGGTGGCGGCGGCATAGCGGCGGCCATGTTTATAATAATCTATCTATCCGCTCTATTTATCTACAAAATGTTACGATACGCGCGTAGAAATAGTACGTTTTACTGTTTATGCATATTATATACACATACATAAAATGCTACAGATATAAATATGTGTATACACGCAAGCACACACACACACACACACATACACTGTGCCTACGATATATTTAGTACATACGGTAGCGGCTACACAGCGAGTGAGTATATATATGTATGTATGTGTGTGTGTGTGTGTGTGTGTGTGTGTGTGTGTGTGTATGTCTGCAAGTGTGTGCACGATTAAGTGTCGGGTGTATACGTGTGTGTGTTCAGCGAATTGCTAGTCCTTATTTATTTTCCCGTTCGATTTAGTCTCGATAAAATGAACGAATTTTCGAAAGAATAAAAAAATAATTAATACGGTCGTGATTGCCGCAAATTGCGATTCTACGTCAGTTGCCGACGCTACGGTTTTTACATTTTAAATGTGAGATGCATTCATCCCTATATCGTGCATTATTATTATTATCCAGTACACGAAGAATAATGCACTCTAAATAATATTATTTATTTACAACGAAAAACAACCACGCAACAACAAACCGATGGTGGAAAAGTGCAACTTGCTGCACTGCACGATAATCGAAATCGAAATAAAATAAAATTTACGTACATCTATTACGATGTTACAAACAATACAAACACATTTTTACATATACACGACTGCGTACGCGTGAAACATGCATCGCGTATTGTTATGTAATACGTATTAAATACGTGTACGCTCGTATGATTAAGATTGAATACGAAAAAAAAATTAGGACAACCGCTCGGTAATCAACGACGATGAATATAATTCGCACACATATACATTCACACACTTAGACACACATAAATATATGCGCACAGCACAAAGATGAGACGGCAAAAGAGATGTACGACCGCGTTTCTTTTACACCATAATTACAATAACATCACCACGCAGCCTCCTTTGCAACGGATAGGTGTACCGTATTTCAAATGTTCGCTTATCCTAATCGAGGAGAGGGTAGATGAAAAAATTCTGCACACAAACGTATAAGTATGTAACGCGCAGTGGCGTGACGAAGGACCAGCTTAATTGAGATGTACGTGTCCCGAGCTATCGGTTCCTCCGTTCGGCGAATAGTTAATATGAATTTTATTAGATCAATTTTTTCTATCATTGGACGATCGTTCAAAAATGTATACGTTTCACTTGGGTAAATAATAAAAGTTAATCACGCTACTAAACTGTGATGTATATGTATATATAAGTAGGTATATTATATCATGCCGGGGATTCGCGACCCCGCACGGATAAAATATTCGGTACAGGAACAACGGTATAATATACATGTTTCGGTATCGATACTAAATTAATGATCGTGCGCGCTCAGTGTATCATATATCGAATATGGTATAATATTCGCGTTGTGTAACAAAACGACAAGAAAACGACGAAAACGGTAAAAAAAAATAACAATTATTATTACTATCGTTATTTCAAAACGTTATAACCGGTGTACGAGAGATTTTGGTGCGATAATAGTTTTACTAAATATTTATAATTTTTACAGCTTTAAATTTTTTTTTCGAAAGTATTTTTATATATATGTGTACGTATCACATGCCAGTCTAGGATAACTTTGCTGTTGCTGCTGTTTATGCTACATTATAATACGTTTATATTATATATATATATATATATATGTGTGTGTACACGCTCGTCATCGCTGTCCCACCGAAGAGACCACCGCCGCCACCGTCGATGCGTTGACAATTGTCTTCGCCGCCGTCGCCGTCCCCGCCACCACCACCGACTCCTTCGCCGACTCCTCTTCCTCCGATCAACTGCCATCGATCGAAAACAGTTCTTTGTGCAGGGCCGGGAAATCCAAATGTGGCGCTGAACGACGCAATTTGGCCAACGCTTCCATGTGCAGCAGTCCGAGTTGCCTACATGAAACGATAGGAATTAAATTATATATTATTCCGATCAGTGTAATATTATTACAAGAATCGTTTAAAGACAATATATATACAGGTATATATCATTTTCTAAATACATTCGGAAGTGTAATTCGAATCCGACGACGAGGGGAGAGTACAGAGGTATCTGCTAAAAAAAAAAAACCCGAACCGTCTTGACTCTAAAATGATGGTGGTTCTAAACGTGTATGTAATTTTAAATTTAAGTAATTACGTAAACCGGTTATTTTGAGTACGAACGTTATGAATTAGCACTGTACTCGTTATAAAAAACGATTTTAAAAATAACCGGCATTATCGTTCATCGATTTCAGATAAATTTCCAGTATTTCAATCTTTAAGAAGACCTTGTACTAAAATCGAATAAAAATTTGATATTTTTATTTTATATAAAAGTTGTATAAATATATTATACTGCAGCAGTTGAACCTTTGTATGTATACTAGAGTAGACTAATCGTGCGGAGAGATTATAATCTTTTAACAAGGAATTGACTATTCGACCAATAAAGATCCAACTACCCTTCTCGTGGAGCTCAAAGTTACTAATTAACAATACCCTTTGTATTATTCTTATAGTTTGCTTACAAAAAGGGAAACTAATCATTACATGATGATAAAATAATTTCGTTCATGTTTCTAGATTCCAGATATACATAGAGATTATTTTCTTTCGATTATAATTGAATTATATAAAAATTTGATACATTTATATCAATACATAATAACATTAATAATTAACACAAATTGTGAATGACTAATGAGTAATAAAAATACTATATTATAATGCTATTGGTAATTTTATTGACATAATTTCAATTTTCGATAGTTATAACTTTAATATTTTTGAATTGAAGTTCGTTTTATTTAAGTAACCAGTAAATATTGTGATTAAATGTTTTTTTTTTAGGTTTACTAAATTTTAATCACTTAAAATCCTTACCATTAATCTATAAATAAAGCAGGAACATTTATTTATACAATCAATGAATAATGAAATTCATTGTTATACTATTATAAAAAAAATTAATTACTGAATAGACTTACATACTTCATGATTTATAAATAATATAGTAGATGTTAAAAAAGGAGATCGGGTTCATTCTAAGGTACTATAGCCTGCTAAGCTATTCAATCAACACGTAAGTAACTATCATATTATTTTCAGAAAAAATAGAAAACATTAACCAAAATGTGAATTTGAAAACCGAATAAGTTATAACTTACATGTACCTTATAACTTTATATTATATTTTTTAATATTAATCACGCGTCATGATTTGCTTTTGTGATAAATATGTTTAAGTTATTTAAAACAAACATATAATTACTATCACACTCCTTCTCTAATTTCAAAGTGATCACACTTAAATTTTCCATTTAATTACGCTCGACCTATTGCAATCCTTTAGAGCAGCGCTTATTAGTTTTAATACGTTACTATTAACTGATTACAAGTAATTAAAGCAAAGAGTTGAATCGATAAATCGTAATAAAAAATAAAATAAAATGTTAACATTGTAATTATATCTGCAAATAACTGACTTTTTGATCACATTACTGGTAAAAAAAAAAAAAATTTTCTTTCATACATTTAAAAATGTATATTCTGAACTGATGTATTAAACTCTACAGTACAACTATTTTGAGGGGGAAGAAACAAGAAAAATAATCACATATGTTTTTTTTTTAGTATACACGTACGTGTCATACGCGTTAACCCACGTACGGTATACGCATGATATGCTAAATTTTAAAAAACTACTACTTCTTTTAACCCTTTTGTATGCCATAAAATGGACACTGTATTTATTGCTTACACGTGTTAACATTAACGAATTCTTGACAAAATGGGAAAGGAAGGCGTGTAATTGACCGACACATGTGATAGTTGTCTCCCGTGTACTATGACGACGGACCAACAGAAGAAACGTTATTTATCTAAATGTTAGTAATACTCCGTCAACAGCCCTTTACTTATTATATTTAGTACTTCTTTTTAAATTAATACACAAAACTCTTCTCTACGCCACTTTACATATGTATTATAAAAGCATCATGCAATTAAGTAATTGACTCTAGAAATTACGATTAAAATTAATTCTACTTGAATTTTTGATGCAAAATATAAAGTTAGTAAAACAATGTAACATTAAATGAAACTGGTTTGGTCAAGATATTCGTTTGCATAGGTCACACATAATATTTATATCGTATCACTTACGTGAATAGTTACTTTTTTTTTTAGGGGGGGTATGATTAACTTTCTTCAAAATGGTAGGGGTTCAAATAATGTGCAATAAAGTGGTATATACCGTATATCTTAATTCATGGTTTCTACAATATGGTCTTTGGGAGGGGTTTCTAATTGTTCCCCCTAAATTACGTGCAAGTAGGCACCATGTGTCTCTTACATCCATTTCTAGTTAAACTGTATTTGAATAAATTATTTTTTCTTTCTACTACGGTCAAGTACCTATATCAACTATCGATTTTAGTTGTCAGATTCTGAATTATACTCGTACGTAATATACAGTAGGTAGATACAAATCTAGTAAGTTGCATCTATTCGATCGATAACGCGACGTTTATTATACATATTATTACGATATCTATAGTAGTTACAGATGTAGATCACACGTGTATTGCCACCGTAACAGTCTAATACAAATTTTATAAATATAACCCTCCGTCAAAAATAAAGGAAATGTATACTGAAAATTGTTTTAAAATGGATGCGCTTGGATTAAACTATAAATACATTGTATTTTATTGTCATTTTCGAAGCAAAAATTACTAGTTCGAGAAACATTTCGACAGCGCGTAATGAGCATCGGCCGAAACAAGGTTTAACAATTTAAATTTAACTAATGAACGAACGAATATTGATACTATTATATGTATAGTGATTTGCATACAGTCGATTACGCCGAAAACGTTAAAAAAAATCGATTTACTTAATACGTCGACGTCGCACAGGAAATAAAATGCATTTTATTTCACGAATTCGGAATTTCTTTTAAATAAAACCATTTTTTGTCTCTCTCATTTCTTATTTGGTAGAAAAAAAAATGAAAAAAAAACTCATAAAATCTCTCACCTGAGCAACGGTATCTTTTGTATGAGAGTTTCGCACACTTGATTTTGCTGTTGCTGTTGTTGCTGCTGCTGTTGATGTTGCGGGTCCACAGTAGCGCTGGTTTTGCCGCCCGTGGTCCTGTGGTCGATTTCCATGCGTAACGCTCGCAGGATGGCCTGCCTAAGACGTCCAATCTCCACGGTGCCTTTCAATCCTTGCCGATCTGCGTGGACAAATAATCGTCATTAGTATATTATCATGATGATACTGATTAACTTAACGATGATATTGATAACAAACTTATGTTGATGATTGCTGGCCGGGTTATTAAAGATATAAACCGCGGCATAAGTGCGATAGTATTGGGACTTATTCAGACTGTTATAGGTCAATTAGGCCACCACGTCTTGGGTTTTAAAAGGGAACGAAAACGGTAATGGAATTCGGTGAATTAATACAGACAAAAATGGTGGTCTAGTGTTTACGCACTACTTTATTACTTAATTTGCTACAACAGTATTTTCAAGATTATATTATGAAAAAAAACATTGTTAGTACATTTTTATTGTAATCGAAAACCGAAACGATATCTTTTAAGACGTGACTCTGCGTACTGTAGAAATTACGTATTATAAATAAAAATGTTGAGTAGGTAAATGAAAGTAACTTAATGTCGGAATGCTGTGTTTATTACAATAAGGTATATATAATATCTTGTTTCGTGAAATTAAATTGACTTAAATTGCGTTGGCCAGAGTGTTAAGTGACTATTGTGTTAATATACATAATCATTTCACTAATATCAAGATTAACCGTTTTTAAACGCTTTTAACTGACTGTTATACGGTCCAAAGTTGGATAACAATATTATTATCCGGCCGGATGACGTCATTGTTATCCAATTTTCAGAAATACTTTTGTAAACGTGTACACTGTGGGTGCAAACTGTTTATATTGCGAAATTAAACTAACCTGGTGACAGTAACACAACGGCCGAGTATAGAGCAAGTTCGGTTTCGGTGAGTTTCAACGAAGCCACGGCTCGGCTCACTTCAAAAGCCAACGACACCAGTCTCGTTTCGACCGGGTCCTGCGTATAAAACGCGTCAGCTGGCAATAAGGCATCTGCGTAATACACACAATCCCTATGCGGGTCGTAGTGTCGAGACATCCTTAGCACAGCCAATTCGAAGCTACCTGAAAAACATTGAAGAAAAAAAAAATTACAGTTTGCATGATAAGTATTATGTTTATTTCGGTCTAGTCATACAGAATAAATTTAAAAAAACATATTAAATAACCCACGATAAAAAAAAGTGTAGATATCAAGTGTTAAATAATATGGCTTATCAAAAAGGCGATTATTTACTTTTCGTTTCGTTGGATAAAAGCCAAAAACCGATTAATAAAATATTGTTAATTATTGGCTATCAATCGTTCAATTTAAACTGGGAAGCACCATATAGATGTTAAATAATCGAATGAGCTAAAGGTGCTTATCATACAACTGCCAATGAGCAATTGTGTTGTCGTTCTATATTTATATTTTTATCAATATATTTGCTGATATATATACTATTTTATACGAGAAAAAACAGAGATACAAAATTTTACACAAAATTTGATCCAATACTGCTTGTCTCTCTCCTTTAAAAACTAACCAGATGCTCGTAATAATGATATAAATAATGAGGAGTAATTGTTATTTTATCAAATATTTTTAGCAAGGATTTCTCTGATTAGAAAAAATATAATAATACGTGATTTCTACAGAACTACTCACCAGCTTTGAGCAGTACGATCTGATCGTCCTGCGATAGTTTCATAAATCCAGGCACCATTTTGGCGAACTCGATAATCTGTTGAATAACGGCAGTCAACTTTTGCGCGCATTCCACCCACAGTTCTTCATGAGCCTATAACATAAATATGATATTTATTATTTTCGCACGTTAGTGCTGGAGTACGATGTGTGTCAATCGCCAAAAAAATGAGAAAAAATTAAAACCTTGTAGCTTCGCGCTCCGAACATGGTAGTTTTAAATATGAAAAAATGTCGGCAACACGCTTGTTACCACTTTTACCAGGTACAATAATAATAGTTAATTATTGAACTTGACACGTGCGAAATAACTACTTACAAGGAATCGGTAAAGATCTCGTAAATATATACGCATAGTATATTTACTTACCATGGTCTTGTAGAAATGTAATTTGTCGGCCGTCGTCTTGTTGGCCGCAGCCATTGTAGCCGTCCGGTACATGCCGTCGTGTATTTGGTCGAGTGTGTAGAAACACGTGCGTGCGTGAGCGTCCGCGATGGTTTTGCTCAGCAATTCGCTTATCTGGACGGCGTCTGCTGCTGAAATTAGTAAACAAAAACACACGACGAACGTTAATAATCAAACGTCGAAATCCGCGCTATATGATCGGTAATGGCTAATTTAACAACAGCCAGTCAAATCATCTGTTTAGTCGAACTAAATCTTAGTTGTAACGAATAGTCGTAGTCTAAAGGTTAAATCGACTTCCTTTTCGTCGACCGAATTCATTCCTAATCGGGTTCTATTAACTATTATGGCTATTATTTATTCAGAAGTGAATTATGAATAAAATCAATTAGACGTAAATAATGGAATAAACTCGTGTTGATAATACGATGGTTTGTACACGATTACGTGTGTAAACAACCGCTAACTGGTTGAAAATTTTTACTGTACATTATCATGATGTTATTAACACAATGTAATATTATTTATTAACAATTTAATATTAAAACAATCCACCGCAGTCATTCAAATTGACAGAATACAATACACACGTTTCTGTAATCTATTAAATACCGAAACTACGTTGATGTATCCGTACATCATAACATTACGCGGAGTAACTAAAACGTTGAGATCCAGTTCAACTGGCGTGTAAGTACGAGCGTAACGCTTAAACCTATATGTGTAACCTTATGGTTTGGACTGCTACGTATAACTGACTGTCGATAAAACGGATAAACCGTAGACAACGTAGGAATGGTGTCCTGTAGTCATACCTGAAGATACAGCGGCCGTGGAACCGGACACGCCAGCCATCAAGTTGTCGGCCCCACCCGTCGCGGCGGCCGCGACCGACGACACCTCCATGTCGCCGCCGTACGTGGACGTGGCTGCTGCCGTTGAAGACGTGGTGCTGGATGCCGCCGGCGTCGTGCTGTCCGCCACGTAGTTGCTGCTTGTCGCTGCTGCGTCGTACGGTGGTGGTACGGATCCGGTACCACCGCCGCCAGCTTGTACCGCCGACGACGTGGCCGCCGCAGCGTATGCCGCGAACGTGTCCACCACCAGCGAGGCGGCAGCCGCAGCCGCATTTGTTCCACCAGTGTTGTTGTACCCGGCTCCGTACCTACAAAGACCGAAAATTAAATCGAAATTAAATAAACTGCAGCATGCACGAGTTGTATTAGAACAAGGACTTTTCTTTATACATTTTAACAACCGGAATTGGTGGGATAATTAAAAAATATCTTTCCTGGTAAGGTTGATTTGTGATTAAATCTTGTTGTCTCTTGACCGAGTTATACACAAGTTTATCTACTCCTTCGAAGTATTGAACTTTGGCTTACGTATGCAATAGTTTACACGATTCCATAATTTTTTTTTTTTTTTTTTTTAATAAACTATTGGGATTTGATTAAATTTTTCGTACACTATCAAAATGCAAATACTGGAATTTCAAGTGACATTTAGATATCTAATTTAAACTTTTAGGCATACGCCATCCATAAGTTTATACAAAAATGTGAAACATAAGTCAACTTCAATCCTTAACATCCGAATGAATAGAAATATTTTTATCTACTTCTTTACTACATATATTATAGTTTCTTATGATATCAAATACAATATTATTTTTTGTTTCCTACTAATTTTAATTACAATTTTTTTTTTTGTGATTATTTTAGGAATTCAAATTAAACATAAAATTAACAAAAATTAGAAATAGTAATTAATCAAACAGAAATAAAAACAACACAACATTACTATACATTTGTAATATGAATGAAAACTTATATTGTATGTTATATTTATTGATCATAAATGAAATATTTCAAAATATTAGAATAGAATTTGGTCATCGATAATATATTTGTTGTTCAAATACATATACATATTAGTATCATATGGTTTAGTGTTTTGGGAAAAGTTGATTTTCGTGAAAACAATACAAAAAATGCACGCATCACACGCCTGCAGTTGATTTATTGTGATTTTTAAAATATGTTCCCATGATATCGAAAATGTACTCCGGTTGTACGCTCGGAGTGCGCTTCTCCCCCTTTCAACCTACTTCCGTGCACTAGTCGTAAGAAACCGCGACGGCTGGCCGATCGCTTTTTTCGTTCGACATTTTAATAAAAAAAAAATAAAAACGCTCTCTGTACTCACCCGGCACCTGTACCCCCATTCGTCCCGTTCGCTCCACCGCCGGCCGCAGCTGCCGCCGCTGCCGCGGCAGCTGCTGCTGCGGCCGCGGCGTAAGCTTGCTGTACGTTGCTGTTAATGTTGAACTGCTGTTGTTGTCCGTGGTGCTGATGCTGCTGCTGGTGCTGCTGCTGTTGGTGGTGCTGCGAAAGATGTCCACCACTGCCGTGCAACTGGTGATGGTGCTGCTGTTGCTGCATGTGCAGCCCGTGGTCGGCAGTGCTGGAGGGCATCTGCTGCTGTTGCTGTTGCCCGTGACCGTGCTGCTGGCCGTGCTGGTCGTGGTCGAACACGGACGAGTCCGCGGCTACGGCCGCAGTACCTCCGCCGCCATTGCCACCGCCGCCGCCGCCACCACCGGTCGTGGTCGAACAGCAGTCGGCGGCTGCGGTCTGCACGGCCACCGCCGCGGCCGCGGCCGCGGCTGCAGCGGCTACGGACGAACGCATTTGCGCCTTATGGAAACGCACCTCATCCTCGACCTTCTCCCGCTGCTTTTTGCTCATGCGTCCGAATTTCACGGCTGTATCGTACGACGAAACCCGAGAAATAAGAAAAACAATCGAATATTAAACACTCGTTACGTCGTCGGAGGGTTTCTTTCTTGCATATTAATTACTACGTACAATATTCGATTTCGTTGAACATAAAGTATTGGCATATATTACAGAACGATAACAATATATTTTGTTCAATGCACGTTTATGATACAGAAAAAGTCTTTTGGGGTGCAACCCGGTTTTCAATGATATTCATCGTGAACTTTAAAATTATGAGTATTTATATTCTATGATACCTATGGTATACTCGAAAATCGTTTATGTGTTCACACCGATTCATATACTAAATAATTAAGCAAGTAATTTTTGTGAATTTTCCTTTTACAGCAAATATGCTATATACATATCTATCCCGTGTTAGTTTTTACTCTTACATATGGTACCTGCTACTTCATGCAATTCAAAACTAAGTATGACTTATGGTTGAACTCGGGTGTTTTGAAATTCACACCGTTTTATCTAGTATGGTGCAAAAATATTTAAAAAATTCTTCAGAAAAATGTGTTATACAAATTGTGAGTATGGTTTAAATTAAGTTCAGTTATAATTTACTTGCTGGTAAAAATCTCGAAACTCAGTGGTCCCTCTGCTCATGACGGCGCTACGTGCGTTTTTATGGTCGTGTTAGCAGTGGCGTATACATGGGGGAATGAGGGGGGTCAGATTTTTAAATGTTATAAAATAATGTTCTTAGTGTGAGGACGTTAGAAACGAAAAAAAAAAAAAGATAAAATAAAAATTATTATTTGTTTGCAAATGATCCCCTTCCTCATATAAAAATTATGTATACGCCACTGTACCTAAGTACATTAATAATTGGAATCAAGTACAGGTTAATCCGTAAAGCTTTAAGACTAGTGTCGAGAAACAATACTGATAATCACGCCCGTATTTAGGGGGGGGGGGCACGGATAAGCACATGTCTGGAGGTGTCAAGTCTCAGGGGTGGCAAAATATTTTAGCAAAATTAATTTTAAAAATGATGTACCTAATGAAAAAAAAAATAAAACAGTAAAAAAAATAAATAAAATAATTTGTTTTATTTTGTTAAAATTTGTAAATTAAAAAAAAAATTGTATTTTTATTAGAGTATAATTTGTTAATTAAAAAAAAAAGAAAATTTTACGTTATAATTTGTTTAATTTGTTAATTTAAAAGATTATTAAACGATTTTCATTCATAAGTTTTATTTTAATATTAAGATTCTCGATTATGGACGAAATAATAAGTGTTATATTATTATTATTTATTTGGGGGGGGGGGGGCAAAAATTATAATTCCGGGAGCGCCAAATTTTTAAATACGGGTCTGTTGATAATGAAAATTACACTTAAATATCATGGTTATTGCATTAAGAAATGATAACCTATTTATAAAAGTGATATCGTTACGACAATTAACCAAAAAAATTAAACGACTTTTTGTATGTATATGAAGAGTACGAAAATCGGATAATGTGAACACTACCCATGCCTATTGGATAAAGTAAACACATTTGTAAAACGTTTATTTTGTAGGTATATTAACCAGGTGATTTGTACATTATCTACCTTTGAGTGGACAAAGTGTTTTTATAAAATAAAATACCATAAAATATAAATTGTAAATAATATTAATAAAATATAAATTGTACATTATGATAAATCGTGTGCATTGATATTGTATACTCGTATATATAATTTTAAATTTCAGTACGGTGCTATCGGTTTTCGAGTTGTTTGATCATTTAATTTTTTTAAAAAAAACTCGTCTACTTAGAAAGAGAAATTTTACGAGAGTTTTAATACATAAATTAATGAAAATAATGATAATTCGGTAAATTTAACGGAATCAAAATATTTTATAAGTGTCGGCTACAAAAAAATCTTTGTGTAAAATAGCTAATGCGTGATTTCTTTTCGGTGGTCCAGTTTTTAAAAAATGTTTATGTAAAAATAGTTGTTTGATAAATAAATGTGCCTACGAGTAAATATAAATCTGGGAAGATATTTTGCAATTTAAAATACCATTCAAAATTCATTAATAATCTGAACTTTTCCAATAAATAACTATATTTAATTTTTTTTATATTTTCATGTATAAAATAATAACTTAATAATATATAATTTACTTAATCATTTTTTTTTTTTTGAATTAATATGATTTGATTTTTTTTCCTCCATACCTTATCCATAGCACACTGGATAATATACACACTGTACTATTCATATGATTAAGGTGTACTTTACCCGGGTAATGTGTAAACTACTCATTTTCGAACTTTACCCGTAATATATGTATACAATAAAGGCGGTAAGTCGCTATACTGCCGCCAAATAATGGCTCACTTGGAAAAATGAGCGTTAATCATACGACAAGCATTTATTTTAATGGCAGATTAAGTAAGTAATAAATATTTTCAATGCAACGAATCGAAGTATTTTTGGTGCATTAATAATTATAGACAGTAGACATTAATATAATTTGGTTTGTCGTTATATTTAATCAACCTCCTTTAATTAAACTGCTACATTTTATGTTTCTAACATCATTATTATTATTATTTCGTTGCATAGTAAAGATAGTTTATAGTGTTATTGAATTAGAACCACATAAATTATTTTGTAGTCCCATAAACAGCCGCTAATGGAGGTAATAATTTCTTTCTCTCTAGACCCAAGAAAAATAAGCTAACCAAGTGTATAAAAAATGCAATTATACAGATTATGAATGAAAAATTAATATGAAAATATTTTGAGTTTTGTCATCGCGTTGTTTTTTCAAGGTTAGAGTGAATGAAACATTCGTTTCTAATATATTTCCTTATCGATTATGCAATTAAAACGGTTTTTTTTTACTATTGTAAAAATGTAATTTTAAATAATGCCAATTATTCTGATTTACCCCTTCCACTGATTCCTATACCGGTCGACTACCCTTGAATAATCTAATAAGTTATCTGTAGCATTTCAACTTTAGTCAAAACTTAAGGTAATGGATACGAATGTATTGATTGACATTAACAAACAGTTTTTTAGTCGGTATACTTCATTTTTAATTTAGTCTTAAAAGTTATACCTATTGTTAAATTGTATTGATGAAAATATATAAAATAATATAATATAATATAATAAATGATATACTTATAATTTAGATTAATTTTTTTTAAATATGTGAAATTAAAAATCATTTACGAAAATAATTGAAAAATGACCGAAAAAAAAACTGCTAAAAATTTATACTTTTCCAAAAAAATGTTACCTTGCAATTATGAAAAAAAAATTTCTTGAGTGATAATATTTTACTATTATATAAGATATAAATAATTTATACTACGAATTATATGGCACTATAAATATATCAGCTATTTTTAAAGAGAAATAATTAGAAACGGATCTTATAATCTGGTGGTGATAATATTACAAACAGTTTCACACATTATTTTTCTCATGTTTTAAATATACCAGCAGACTCGGAAACTATTTCGGATTCTTACGATAATAGTTTTCCATCGGTCTCAGCGATGTTTATAATGCGTTCAATGACATAACTTATAAAACTTGCCCTGGTTCTGACAAAATATCCAGTATATTTTTTATGCAATGTAAATTTGTTTTGTCAACACCCTTACTAATGTTATTCAATCGTTCTCTTTCCACTGGAGTCTTTCCAGATAAATGGAAAATATCGTACGTCTCCCCTGTTTTTAAAAGCGGAAATATAAACCATATAATTAATTATCGACCTGTCTCTATAATTCCAAAAATATTTGAAGGTATTGTTTATAGGAAAATTAGTCCCCTTTTTAAAAATTTTATAATTGAAGAGCAGCATGGCTTTATGTCTAGTAGATCCACTACATCAAATCTTTTGGTTTTGCAACAATTTATTTTAAATGCATTTAAATTAAACTGTCAGGTGGACGTAATATTAAACAGACTTCGCAAAAGCTTTTGATAAAGTTGATCATAGTATACTCGCCAAAAAATTGTTCCAATCAGGTCTCCGCGATCCTTTCTTTTCTTTTCTTGGCTTGTATCCTTTTTATCAGGTCGGAAGCAATACGTGAAATTTAAAAATTATAATTCATGTATGTATAATATTACCTCTGGAGTTCCTCAAGTTCCCATTTGGCTCCTCTTCTTTTTAATATTTATATTAATGACATTAAGGATATCAATTCCAATATATTGCTCTTTGCTGACGATGTTAAACTATTTCGTATTATTAAAACTGCACTTGATACTAAATTACTTCAGAATGATCTTGATAACGTGAGTGATTGGTGTGACATAAACAAATTGTACATGAATGTTTTTAAATGTAAAGTTATTACTTTCACTAAAAAGCGTTTGTTTTTATTAAACAAGTATTTTTTTAAGGGTATTGAATTAGATCGAGTCAACCTAGTGAAAGATTTGGGTGTATATTTAGACTCTTCTCTTTCATTCAATGACCATTATATCCATATTCAGAATAGAGCGTCCTCGATGCTAGGGTTTATAATGCGGAGCTGTAATAATTTTGATAATCCTATAGCTCTTAAATCACTATACTGCGCCTTTGTTAGGTCAATTTTGGATTATAATTCAATAATTTGGTCTCCTTACACATCTGGTCCAATTCATTCTATAGAGGCGATTCAAAATCGCTTTTTGAGAATTATAAGTAATAAATGTAATATTCAACGTTCGCCTCACACTTCGTATGAACCTTTATTATCATATTTAAACATTGATATTCTTCAGGTCAGAAGGGTTAAACATTACATTTGTCTTATATATAAACTTTTAAATGGTTTTGTTAACTGTCCAGATCTATTGTCAAATATTTCTTTTTCAGTTCCTGGTCATTCGACTAGACAAACAGATACCTTTTATGTGCCATTCTAGCGTACTTGATATGGTAAAAACGCCCCTTTAATTAGATCCATGCAGAATGTAAATAATTATAATATTGATATGTTTATTTGTAATTATATTGTTTCTTTTAATTTGTATCTTAGTAATTTAATCAATTAACTTATTGTATACAACAATTCTCATCTATGTAAATATTTTTTGTTCCACATTTAAATTGTAACTGGGCTCGCCCGTTTAATTCTAATAAATAAATAAGCCGAAATGTATCAATTATAAGCGATTTTTTTTTGGTCTAGTGTAACGTGTTATTGGTTCGCTATGTAATCGAAAAATATATTTCATAAAATTATAAATATGAATTCTTGAGTTATTGACAATATTTTTACATATTTCAATATTTTTTTGTTTTTTGGTCAAATGTTCGTATTTTTTAACTTAATACGAATTTTTAGTAAATATTTATAAAAAGGTATACCTTACATTTGAATCTACAGTTACGAAGAACAAAAAATATTATGCTTTATAATATGTGAGAAACAAATTTCTATATAAAAAATATGTGAGTCATTTTTTACATGATTAAATCATTAAAATTAAAGTTTATTTATATATATTTTTTAATATATAATTTACAAAAAAAAATTAATTCTAATTTATTTATAAATAACTTCGTTTCTATATTCAATGTACAAATATTATCAACATTTTAAGAATTGGTATGTTTCATATATTTCAGTTCATTTAAACTCAAGATATAATTAATTTTTATTTATCGTTTATTGCTACATACATAGGAATTTATGAACTACTCGATCAGCAACCGACGACATAATATTATTATATTAAGCGACGACTTGAATTACACAAAACGTTTATCGATAAATCGCAATTTATTTAAATATGCATTACCATATAATTGTACAAACGTAGGTATTTTGTGCGAATATAATATCCAAGACGTTTCAGTCATGAGTCGCACCGGTATTTATACAACATAAATCCATGAGTACAAAAAACAAATAAATCGCGTCATTATGTATAATTTGTTGAAATGTTCAAACATTATTCGTAGCTGACAAATTTAGGGACCCGGTAGATACGCAAATATATATTTAAATTATAATAAGTGGGTAAAAATAAGAATGCGCACGCCCACGGATGTGTGCGTAGGTATGCGTGTGTGTTTGGTTGCGTTGACACCCCGGGTCGAAAGTCGGTTATTGACTTGGTCGCGGGTTTTAACCCCATCGCCGATATCGCCGCGTACTTACATAATACAAATCGTGTTTTGCCTAAAGTACAGGAAATTATAATACAAATACAGGTATACACGCGGAGTACAATGGACCAATTTCGAAGCGTTCTCGTGATGGTTACATCGTTTTAATATACGTCGTCGTGTTGGTCGCGTATTGTTGTATAGTACGAGCGATAATGTACGTTTAGAAAATGAAATAAAATAAAACAAAAAAAGGAGTGGCTACTGCAGTGACAATGTGACTGCAGTCAGTATACTGCTGTGATAAATTGGAACTACGTCGATTAATAATCCGTTCATTCACCTGCCGGTCGCTGTAAATTATATGCACTACATTGACCCAGCGGCGCATTTAAGGGAGAGCACAGGGTAAACTATAGAGGGTTAATTTTTCCAGCGATAACATCTCGGAAGTGGTTTTATAAGTATTTTTACGTCGACTAGTATTAAAAATTAAATTGTATCGTCAATAAATAAAAACAAAACATTAAATATAACTCATCAAATTTGATCGATGTATATTCGACGTGCAAGTGCTCTGCATTATAAATCGATGTTTTGCACCGTTCAAATATACAAAACGCCATTGGTTGAGATCAAACTTTAGCACTGAGAAAGAAACCGTTAGTGCGCAAAATCCACAAAATCGCTTTAGGATAGAAATCGTAACTGTGAGTAAATATCGTACTGTAACGATTGTCACCCCTCGACTACGTTACAATACCACCATCGTAGATGCGTAGAAAAAAAGTTATAAAATGTTAATTTCATTTCCGCTGTATGTTTTTCGTACACTATCGAATTTCTAAACTCAACGCTTTTCCGATCCAATTGTGTGCTTTAAGCACAGTTGTTATCGTATTCGTCGAATCAAGGTGCCCACCAGCCTTGATAGGATACGATTCCACTCTCAGCTCGAATTGCGAAAGCTGGAAACACGTTCAATACGATTATAACTTACCGTCACGGGACATGCCCAACCGTAGGCATTTCTGTAGGCGGCAGTACTGGCATCGGTTTCGATTGACGCGGTCCACTATGCAGTTCTTGTTACGTGGACACTGGTAGTTGACCACGGACGATTGCGACCGCCGGAAGAATCCCTTACACCCTTCACACGTGATCACGCCGTAGTGGACGCCGCTGGACTTGTCGCCACACACCTTGCACGGTATGATTTCGATTTGAGCTGTAACGAAACGGAAAAAAATCGTGTTTAGCGACGGCACGTTCGGATTGTTATTGATGTACAAATACGAGGATGTGGATTTGCAAACAGTAGCAAAAGACCATCGCTGTGATGGGGCATAACAGTATTTTTACTGAATTCGATTGCATTTTGAGTCGTGATTATCACACAATAATAGTGATAGTTTGCCACGCGAAATGCGAATAACCCCGCGGAATGAGACGCGATCTTTTTCGCGCAAAACAACGTTGCAATAGATAATAAGTACGCGACCGACTGGTATATCACCCTGTATGTCTCTGTATTTGACACGACGATGATAATCGGCCAACCGTACACCGCGCGTTAAGGTCATACAAAGACACGCTGAATAATCCTGCAGCGCTGTAGTGCGCAAACATATTATTTTAATATATATTTATGTATTGTGTCTTGCCGTTTATCGAATAAAACGATACATCGAACACGGTCCGTGTGAATCGCAATGCGGTGATCGCTTTCGTGTTCGCGCGTCCAATACATACGAGTATGATATTATTGTATAAATAATTACATTTTTAGGACGATTTTATTTTTAAACGTACTCCAAAGCGTACCAAAGCGTTTTCTATACCAAACAGATAGAGAATGAGAGAGAAAGAGAAAGAGAGAACTATTCTACTCTCAAGTCGCTGGCATAAACACGTCGTAGTACGTATATACGCGTGAGCTGTACACAAGACGGCGGCGGCGGCGGCAGCGGCGGCGGCGGCGGAGGAGTCAAGCGATCGACGTAATACGCGCGCACACACACCGGTGAGGTTCAACGACCTTGTTGTTTGCTGAATATTGTTATGTATTATGTACTAATATTATTATTGTACGTAGTATTATGTATCATAATTTATATATAAATATATTTATATATATATATATATATATTATACGTATAAATGCGCGCGTAGTATAGAAAAATAATATAATATTACATCGATTGTCACCACCACGGACGACGAGTGCTTTTTTATGATATAAATACACGCGTCGTCGTACACCTTCTATACGTATTATAATATTATATTTTAACGAAATCGATTTTATACCGCGCGTTAACAGAAGCGGTATAAGTGTAGGTACCAACGATGACACGGGTAGTTGCGGCGACGAGTTTTCGTAAATTAATAATTTATATTTATTTTTTCATCCGTTCGCAATAACGTACATCATAATAATAATACACGTATTTGGTATAATGTATAACAACGAAATACATGAATATTATTTAAAATGTATTACGTTCGCGTCGATGGACAAAACGAAAACGATCCCGTTACCGTCACCGATACCGCTTTTTTCTGTAAATAAATTTTTATTTTTATATTTTTTTACCTTTGACGTATTTTATGTATTCTCGCGTGATATTCGTACGCGCAAAAAAAAAAAGAAAATTAATAAAATAAATAAATACACCGACGAACGGTACCGCTACAAAGCACCGCCACCGTATAGTCAGCTGGCCGGCCACGGAGTTCAACGACCTACAGGGCCGGCGGCGGCAGTGGCCGGATCGTTACCAACAACACACACACACACACACTTATATACCCACACGTACACGCGCGAACACATGTACACAGAACGACAGTGATTACCTACTCGTACGTAATATATTATTATATTATAATGAATTAATAATAATAATAATAATAATATATTACGTAATGTCTACATATTATCGTCTGTACATGCGCTTGCGCGCATAAATGGTACACGCCGCGTGTAAACGCTCGTATATTATAATATCGTACGGACGCCCGAACGGACGCGAGCCGCGCGACAGAAATAGACCGAGCGTAATATCAATTACGGGGCGGAAAATTAATATTAATACGCGAATAATATATTACGTATTCACGGGCGGTAAACGTTTTAGGTCGTTGGGATAATGCGAAAAGGCCTTATGAAAAGGAATAAAACGCGCGTGTAAATCGGTGCGCACGCGCATATAAGTTTATAAAAATATATTTATAAAACAATACTGTTACCTAACCTCCGCCGTTTCGCCGTGGTCGCCGCCGAGATGTGGAACGCGATACATGCAATGTACGTGTACGTAAATGTTCGATTGGTACATTGATTTATGTGTGTATCGTGTGCTATTGGCCGCGTATTGTTTTATGCGTATGTTGTACGCACGAAAACTGTGCAGCGACGGCGATTGCGAAAAAATTAATATTCGACGCGACCGCGCAAAGATGTTATCTCGGACAGTGTCCGCCGAAAATAGCCAAACTTTAAGCGGGCCTGAACGGGACGCGCGCGCGCGCGCGCACACACACGCGATGGTAGCGTCCGACGTGCGCGTATATATATTTGTATTGTATAAAAATATACATATAATATTGAGCTGAACGAATCGTATATACTACTATATATAATACTACTTCTACTACTAGTACTACTACGTACTAGTATAACTACAGATACTACTTATAAATTATCTACAACACGCGTCCGTCTAATGTTATAATTATTATCACGGTTGGTCCCGAAGTTTTTGCTATTAGTCGCTCATTCACACGTAAACCTTTCCGCTGGTGTTTTGTAATATTCCGGGCCGACGATCCGGTATTCGGGTATATGTATACGAGAATTGACGTCGACAAATATAGCGTGTGCCGTGAATAATGTGAAAAAAAAAATAACGAAAAAGTACGCGACGACGAAGCAGCCACTACCTTCGCCGCCGCCGCCGTATAGTAGAAAGTAGGTCAGTAGTGTTAGCGGCAACTACTCTTATGACGGCGGAGGGGACAAGTCGTGGCGGTGGCGGCTCACGGTAAAAGTACGTCGGTGCACGTCGCCGCTGTTTTTCACCGTATATTCACCTCACATATTATTAATACGTCGTCGTTGCATTATTGTGTCATTATGCGCTACCGTCATACGTTTTATTGTACCATATTTTTTTGTTTTAGTGAAAAAATTAAAATTATCATCGTAATGCGATCATTACGCGTATTGCGCGATGGTATTTATTTTCGGCTGTTTTTCTTTTTTTTTTTTTATAATACACCTCACATTATCGTGACAAAAACTCAAAGAGTAAATATAACGGTACGATATTCAGCACTGTACGCTCTTCGGCGGCGAGGGTCAACGAGAGATTTTCCTTAGCGCACATGTAATAACGATAATAGTACATGATACTCGTACACACACACACACTCTCACACAAGTACCATACGCGTACACTGACCAAGCGTTATTATTATAATAATAAACACTAGGCGGCGGCGGCCGTATAAAGGAGAATCGGCTACAGCGGCTTTTGTTGCGCAAATAAACACCTCTAGCCACCACTACTCCTGCGAGCCGACAAACAACGCATAGGACGATTTCGGCATGGCACAACGCTCTGTACCGGCGAATACGTATGTACATGTGTATTATACATGTATAATACACACGCACACACGTACTGCAGTACGTGTTCGTATACGTGTGTATGTGTTTCCGTGTCCGTGTCCGCGCGCGAGTGTGTTGTGTGTGTGTATGTGTGTGTGTGTGTGTGTGCGTGTTTGTGTGTGTGTGTGTGTGTGTGTGCGCGTATATTTGCGCGCGTGAGAGGCCAATGACTTTATGTAGTCGGCGGCGTCGGCGGCGGCGGCCGCACTTGATAGTGTTTCCGCGCGACCGACGACGACGCCACCACCGCCACGCGTAACACAGTATCATTGCGAGTATACTCTATGCACGCCTAATCGTGTGAGCGTGTGTGCGTGTGTGCCCACACTTGCAGACTCATGCGACTAACTGCACCTACACCAGCTGCAGTCAGTTGATACGCATTTTTTTCGCATAGTACGCGGACCGAGTGTAATGTACGTCAGTACAAGAAACGCGGAATGCACCCCTGTGGGGGTCTGTTTGGATTCGTTCGTAAACGTACAACTTTTCGTTTGTTTTGTTATGTTGTGTCAAACGTTTCGATCATTACGATGACGGACGTCTTCGCGTGATCACCGAAAAGAAACGGGATGAAAACGCCACGTAACGGGAAACCGCCACCGCCGTTCTGCGAAACAACTGTACACTACTCTTTCCATCACTCGAAGTAATAACAGTTATAAAAAAAAAAAAAAAAAAAAAAAACGTTCTCCGGCGGTACAACCGGATGGAGTTTGTGCGTGCGATTTTATTACATAATTGTTGCAAGTTAAGCGTGTACATTAAACTTCACTTTCTACTACCGGAGATACGTAAATATACGTATATATGTATATTATAAAACATCGTTATCGTTTAGCATTGTTGTTGTTCACGAAATTGCGAATGTATAGTGTAATTTATACGTCGATGATAATTATTTTAATACATCTGCAACAACTATCGTATGAGCCCCGTTAAACGCGCCACGTAAAAACTATATGGGATAAAATTAACGTATTCCCCTGCCTCCTCGTACATTTTGTACACCGTCGTACACGAATTACACGCGAAATAATGCTGTACACAATGTAATAACAACAGGTAAGGCGGTGGCATGGTGGTGGTAACGAAACGTATATATATACTTACCCGCGACCACGGTACGAGTCCGAGTTCCGCAAACTTACACAATTCTCGCAGCACGCATAACGAGTAAAATCTGCGAGCGATTAGAATCGTCGTGTTGCGCGTTCGCTCACCAGCATTATATAATATTACACGCGACGCGGGCGATCGAATCGAATTTTTATAGCTTTGCGAATTCGCAATATTACGGTATCGCGAGCGCGCACATAATTCTGTTTCCCGTAGAAAGGAAAAAAACATTTCTACAACGCTGCTGCTACAACATCCGGTGCAGATATCATAATATAAATACAATACAGCTTGTAAGATCACTGACGTATAGGCTGATAAACTAAAAAGAAGAGCACAAATGATATTATCGAACGTGTTACGAACCACGGTTATTAAAATATTCCGAATAACGAACAGTTAACTAATAAACGAAACACCGAGTAGTTAAACTA